ATGAGGACATTAAGGGATGCTCAACTCAGTTACATCAGAGATATGTCTAAAGCCACTGGGAGACACCACTACACAGCCTTGGGAGGGCTAAAAGTGTTAGTAAGTAACTGGAGCTCTCCGTTATTGCTGGTGGGAGTGTAAATTGGTCCACCCACTTTAGAAAATCATTTGGCATCATCTGTGGAGACCCGGAACAGGTGTGTCTGATGACAGCGATGCTACTTGTTGACATGTGTCCATTAGGAGTGAATGTTCTGTCAACCATTATAGAGATGGACTGTTTCACATACTAAAGTCCTAACTCCAAGATGGTATTTCGTAAGTGAGATTATTGTCTTTATAAAAGAGACCCCCAAAGGACTCTCTTGCCCTCTTTTTATCTGGGAATAAGAGATCATCCACCCTGCAAAGGGGGTCCTCATCAGAACCTGATGATGCTGCCACTCTCATCTTGGTCTTCCAACCGGCAGGCCCATGAGAGATGCATGGTTTGTAAGCCACCCACCTCATGGTGTTTTGTTATAGCCACCCAAATGGACTAATAGTTCATCAAAGTACAAGCATAAGAATATCCTAAATATGCCAGGTGGTGGTGGCACATGCCTTTAATCCCAGCACTCGGGAGGCAGAGCCAGGCAGATCTCTGTCAGTTCAAGGCTAGCCTGGTCTACAGAGCGAGATCCAGGAAAGTTGTAAAGCTACACAGAGAAACCCTGTTTCGGGGGGGGGGGGAGAACAACAACAACAAAAAAGAATATCCTAAATAACTGCACTAATAACAAACATAAACAGTGAACACCCAGATTGGAATCACTGGTTCTAAAGTAATGTGCACTATATGGCAGTGAGGCAAAAAGGTTACTATGTGAAGTAATGGAGATAAATCTTTTGGGGTGCGACACTGAGTACTGAAGCCTGGTCCCCATGCATACCAGGCAAACACCCCACCACTGAGCTATATCCCCCAGCCCCAGGGATAAATCTTAGAAACATAATTTGGATGAAAATAAGCTAGATATTAAAATGTACATAGTATTGGATTATGGTTGGATGAAATTTAAAAACAAGCAAAACACAGTTTTCTGACAAAGTGTTTGCCCAGACAAGGACTATCTGGAGAGAAGCAGTGAGATGCCTGCGTACTGTCCTTTGGCCTTGGGTGTGTAGATCTGTACAGTCCATCAGTCTGTTCACATGCATTGTGAGCCTACTGATGGGTAACTGTAAGATTTAGCAACTTTTGAAAAAGGAACAAGCAGGATGTTGTGCAGAGAGAAGGCAGGAGGGCATTGTAGGTGCCCTAGTGACTTAAGACTTATGGCAAAGCTGCAATAATTAAGAGTGGGCAGCGTCTGTACGGAGACTGACGAGGGGTTGGCACTGACCAGACTACAGAGAGCAGAAACAAACACCCATGGTTATGGAAATGTGAATACAGCTCATGGGAGGAAATGGAACTTTCAGGAAACAGGCTGGAACAGTTGGTGTCAGTGGCCTTTTATCATGTTATACAAAAATCGTGGCAGACATTCTGAAAGGGTTAAGATAACGCACAGGAAACTACTAACCAAGAGCAGTGGGGGGCTGTCAGAAGAGGGTGGTGCTGTAATCATGTGGGGTGGAAAATGGGCTTTTAATCAGGAGACACCACGGACTGAAAGATGACGTGACAACACATGCAATCAGCAGCAAGAACAGTGTCTAGGACAGAAGATATCCTGATGGGGAGACACTCACCCCAAAAGAGCCCTGGTGACAGACCAGAGAAACAATTCCACTCAAGTCTAGCTCTGGGAACCTTCGAGTTTACTGTGGTTACTCCACAGCCAGAGAGCCTCAGGGGAAGCCCTATTAGCAGAAAGCCCACCCTTGCAGAAGTGATTCATGAAAGCAGTGTGCCTACAGCTCCCTGCCAGATTTGACGGCAGCTTAGCCAGTGGGAGAGTCTCTGCTCAGCAATTGTTACTGCTTACATAACTGTGGGCAGGGGACCTTGAATCTTGTAGTTTTCAGGATTTTCTGAACCTTGTAAGTTTCCTTTACTCGGGCCTTGCATGTTTTGCTGATTTCCTGAGTCCCCGGAGCCTTTCACTTTGCTCCAGGAAGGAGTGTTTCAGTTGGGAGCAAATACCAAGGACTAGTCTTCAAAAGGAAAAAGAAGCAAAGGAGCTTGGTGGAAAAGTAGTCAGATGAGGTGAACGACTGAAAGGAAACAGAAAGGTGTTAACCCTCATAAGGGATTGGAAACATGCAAATCAAGACCATAATGCGGACGGTTTGTACCCACTGACTGAACGTTCATAACACTGAAAAAGTGTAAGTTGCAGATGTTAGTAACAGCTGACAACTGGGAAGAATAGGTAAGAATACGTCATACAGTACATTGTAAACTGTCTTGTGACCACTAAGAATGGGGTGCACTGACATCAGAGAGAGGGAAAGAGGTGAGTGTTTATTATGAGAGAGAGCTCTTGGGAGCAGAGAGGGGGCCCTCTGGTGGGCTGCTGACAAAGGCTGTGTCTGGGGTTTATTTACAGGCTTTGGTGGGCTCAGATCGGTTTGGTTTATACAAATTAGGTGAGAAGTAAAGACCCATTAGGAGAGGGCTCTCAGAAGTGGGAGGAGCTCTCAATTAGGTCACCGGCTCTGCTCCCCACCCCACTACAGACAGCTGCTGTGGGAAGGTGAGCCCCCTGAGAGGAATCGGTTTCCAGTTCCATCTCCTACATCAGGTTTCTGGTCACTGGCTCTAGTCACAGCCAGGATCCCTTTATCTCCATCTCGGTGTATTCCAGGGCTCTATTTACCCCCCCACCCCACCCCCACCCCCAGCCCATGAGCATGCAACACAGTGGTATTGAATAATGGTGAAAATAAACTAGTTATGTGAAAAGAAAATAAACACACTTAGGGGGAAAAAGCAAATTTCAGGAGACTCTGTGAAGTCTCACAGCAGAAGTATGTTTATGAGTGTGCGAAGCCAAACAGCACAGTGTCTATGATGCATCAATGTGTAATAGAGTGAGTTAGAAAGCCATGGAGTGGAGATGTGGAAACTTGTGAGGTTAGAAGAACAAGCAGGCGGCTTCAGGGCTGGTGTGCCTGCTCCATAACTTACATATCTGTGCTTATTTAGTGAGTACCAAATACTACAGATTGAATATTCTGATAGAAATTATTACCCATAAGATTAAATTTCTGTCAAGAACTCTTGGTGGCAACAGATAAAGCTCCAGAAACAGGCTGTCCTTCTCCTAATCTGCGTTCCCCAGTCAACAGTGTTATTATGGCTTTGGGAAGTTACTCAAGTGTCTTGTGCCTCAGCATTTACAACTATAAATGGGAACAGTGAAAATATGGGGTTATTTTGATTGCTAACTGCATTAATAGAGGGAAAAGCCCATAGCAAAGTTGGATAATAAGGCTTGCCAAGGATCAACTTACATTAACAGTAGCTTGGAGGGCCAGCAACTTACCACCTATTATTCTCAATTGTCCTATTTGAAAAAAAAATGGCGGAGGGAGGTGGGATTGTGGCAAAACAGGATACCTGTTATAAATGACATATAAAACACACTAGATATTTAGTAGTGTAGTGTGACATTTGATTTATCCTCATGGGTTTCCTGATTTGGAAACTGAAGAACTAATTTCATGGTAAAGAACCAGAGATGTAAAGATAACTTCACGGGGAGTAGGCAGGAATGATGTCTGCTTGGGAACAGGCATGCTCCCAGGACAGAGTGGTAACTTCACAGGGAGCAGGCATGCTCCCAGGACAGAGTGGTAACTTCACGGGGAGCAGGCATGCTCCCAGGACAGAGTGGTAACTTCA